TATTTTCGTTTTCTTAAAACGCTAAAACAAGCAAGTTTAAATTAATTTTCAATTATCGTTCATTATTCTGAACATTTGTTGGTGTAATGAAAGAAAACCAGTGGTGATTTTTGCAATAGCAAAAATTATTATCAATAATTCCTAATAAATCTGTAGGACTAATATCCAAAGTATCGATAGTTACTTTCAAATTATCCACTCGGTTCAAAGTTTCAGGCTTTATCATAAACATAAAATTTCTCTTAAATCTTGTAAAAATAACTGATGATAATGTCCTGTTGCAAACATGATTTACTTAAAAATAATTAAATAACTAATAACGATTTATTTTAATCAGCTCTTTAGTAAAATTTTTTTTCCATCAGTAGTTTCAGTTTAAGATTTTTCTAATTCTCAATGTAAATAAAATTATTTCACTTGTTTTACAAACTCAATATTATGAAAATTATTCCTTAAAATATTTAAAACTACTTACAAGTTCAAATACAATAAATTTGAAATGAAATAAAATAAATAAAATTTTTTTAATGATGCATTGCAATTCCATCAAGCAATATTCTTTTTGTACACATTATCCCTTTGTGTTTTTGTTTCTTTTCTATACTTACTAACTCTGGGAAATAAAGATTTTTTTATTTTTTTTTGTAAGTTACTTCAAAGTAAAAGGAACTAAACTTATTTTAGTTAAGTAGATTTACAAAATGCCAAGTTTAACTTTACATGATACATAGTAATATTTTCCTTCCCAAAGATCGTTAACATTTTCTTTTTCTGAATCTTCTAAGAAATATTTCAATTTTTCAAAAATAATTGTAAATCAATAACAGTAAAAGTAAATACTAGAATTTAAATAGAGCTTTCGACAGTTTTCTTAATTTTCATGATTTAAAATTTTGAAATGGTAACTGTAGCTTTAATGATTTATTATAGTGCTATAAAAAAGATCTTTTGTGTATACGTTATTTGTTTACTTTTTTTTTTATGCTTAATACACCAAGAAATATTTGATTTTTTTTTTGTTAATCGTAAATTACCTGAAAGTAAAAGGAAGTAAATTTGTTCTCTTAACTTCACTTCTTAGAGTTATGAAATAACGAGTTTAATTTCAATGTGATTAATTATATTGTCATCAAACAATACTTTCTTTACCCAAAGCTTTTCTTTTTATTTTAATACTTCAATAATTATTTTAGTTTTTCAAATAAGTATAATTGTAAATTATTAATCGTGAAAGTAAATACTAAAATTTAAATACAGTTATAATTTTATTAATTACAAAAATGTTTACCAAAAAGAAAATAATGATAGATAAGTAATTAACGTTGTTTAAACCTTTTGTGTGTATTTATTTTTTCTATTTTTTTTTTTTTATTATGTTTTAATATTTAATTAATATAAGCTAGTACTTTCACTTAGGAATTTATTTTCCTTTTGAAAACTGAAACGTCTATTAATACGTTGAATAAAAATTAGAACAAAATCTATCTTTGTTTAAATAAGAGCTTTTGTTATAAATCTGTTGATCTTTTCTTACATTGTTGCTCGAAAATAAGTTTCTATTTAGAAACGATTGTTTAGATCTAAAATTTGTTCCATAAGACCTGTTGTCTATTTCAGTTGCATAATTTGGGTAAAAATCTTTCGTAAAATTAAAATTATTCTTTTTATTCCTGTAATTATTACTTTCCGTTGATCTCAAATAAGTAAGTTTATTAAACGATTGGTTTTTAGTCTGAGAGCGACTGAGATTTATAAACTTATTTTGATCATTATTACTCTGCTTTCGTGTAATGTAGTGTACATTTATAGGTGAAACAGAATTAAAGCTATTATTAGCGTTATAATAAAAGTTACGATTTTTATTCATGTAAGCGCTTTTGGATTTAAAATCATTATAAGGATTTCCTGTTAAATTCTTAAAATTATTCCTTCTGTGGAAATAGTTATTATATTTTTGTGGTTTAAAATCTTTATGATTTGAACTTCTATAATTACAACCAGTAGTATGTGCCACAACTTGGGATGGATTTGAAAAACGTTTGTTACTTGTATAATTTCCATTTGATCTCAAATATTGGTTAAAACGAGGTTTGCGCACTTGCGACTTAAAATAATTCGCAGAATTTTTATCATTTTGGGTAGTAAAGCTTTTTCTCGAATTCCGAGGTTTTTCGTGATGTAAAACATTTTTCTTTGTTTGTGTTTCACAATAAACTAATAACGGAATATCCTTAAAATTAGTTTTTAGAACATTATTCTTAAAGTCAACGACACAATCGTATGAGGTGAGAAAATCTAAACCTAAAATTGCGTCAAATGCGATTTTGAAATCGGCGATGTACATTTTAAACTCAGTATTTGTTTCATCGAATTTTTTATAAAAACTTTTGGTGATATGAATAGGTTTTGGAGCAATTCCTTGAATTTTAAAATTTTCATTTAGTCTTGAAACGTTACTAGGTACAGAACTTGACCTCATTATTGATAATGCTGCACCAGAATCGACTAAATATGTCTTGTTATCGTTATCTACAATGTACATTAGTTTTGAACTATTTTTGTTCATTATATTGCAACTTAAAATTTCATTATGACTTTGATGCACTTTAGATGGTTTACTTTTACCTTTAGATTTATTGTACATCGAATTACTGGAAAGATTTAAATAATTAATCTGATTATTTTCATTTGTTCGCTGATTTGTATAAAAGTCTCGTTTTTTATTTTGATTCAAGTCTCGACAATTTTCTATGTTAGTGAAATTATTTTGTTGTAAAGTATTTGCATTAAAATTTTTATTTTGCATACTTCGTGTTTCTGGTTGGTTTAATTCATTTCGTATACGTTTATAACAAGATCCGATCATATGTCCTGGTTTCTTACAGTACGAGCAAGCTTTTATAGTTGTTGCAGAAGAAGAGTGATAATTTTCTTTCGGTACTATTTTATTATTTAACGATTTTTGTAGTGATGGTTTTAGTGATCTAAAAGTTTTTAAGTAAGAGATATTTTCTTCTTCAATTAGAAATTGTTCGGCTTGTTCGAGACAGTTAGGTTTTTGTGAACGTAAAATACTACCAAGAGGTTCGGATAGACCGGCTAAAAATGTTTTTAAAGCAATTTTTTCGTGTGATGCATTTAATGCGTTTCGGGATGCATCATTTAATTCATTATTTAGTGCGACGCTGCTACGAATTTTTGTAAGAAGGTCTTCAATACGCTGCACAAAATTTCTTGGAAGTTCGTTTGGGTTTTGATAACAAGAAGTCAAATCACGAAGTAACCCTTCGGTATCTCTGCAGTCACCATAATGACCTATTAATAGTTGTCTAATATTTTCCCAATTATTAAGTTGCCTTGATGAAATAAATTTTCTCGCGCTACTGGTTAATTTACTTTTTACAACGAAAAGTAGTGCGTTTCTGTGCTCGTCTTGTACATTTTCAAATGCAAAATTTACCGCTTCAATAAAGTCGTACAAAGTTGCTTGTTCTCCGTCATAAGTTGGTATTAATTCTTTTAAATCTTTTAGAGTAAAATCTGCCATTTTTCTTTTTGTAATTAAATTAACTTAAAGGAAAAATATAAAGAAAGGCAAGAATTATTTCATTAAATTGAGAAAAATTGAAGAATAACAAGGAATTTTTGAATAAATCGAATAAATGCAAAAATACGAAATATGTTGCAAAAAACCAAAAATAAGAGACAAATACTACTTACAGTAATAGATACATGCTCTTCATTGAACCTGGAATCCGGAAAATGAAAACCCTAGATACCAGTCTTCTTTCTTCGGGATTTTCGAAAATTCTTTCTTCAATTTCGCCTTTTCTTCGCTTTCTTTCTGGATAGTGTTCAAGAATCTTCTCGCTGCTTCTTCCAGATGATGAACTACGTCGAATAGGTTCGTTTCTCGCTTAAATTCGAGTTTGCGAATTTTTCGCGACTTGCAAAATTTTTGCAAATGTTACCGACTGCGCCACTTTAACGATCCTGATGGTCGTTACGAATAAAAATTAACAATTTTTTATTCTATTTTATTAAATGATGATTACAAGACTTGAAACTATTCTAAGTTCGAATATAATAAAATAACGTTAGACTTTTCTAAGTCCGGACAAAATATAAAAGTAAAATATTTTATGATAAGACGGGAACGGCGTTACGGTATGATGTGAGACTTTTGACTGCAGATCACGACTCGAATGTTGAATACTTGAGTGTCGAATACTTGAATGAATCTTCTGCTCGTTCTTCTCCCTTATATACTGAGGTTTGACCTCCTTTGGCGAAGATAAGCTGCACATGGGCTGATGTAAGAGCTTGCATCAGAATTACAGGTCAACCAAGGGTCGAGGGTTGATAAGGAGTACGAAACAAAGAAAGTTCATTGCTCTAAGACGAATGTGCGTTGCATCTAGAAGTAGGCCAGTAATAACGAGTGCGTTAGCCTCAGGGTTAGAGGTCACTTCGGCAGGGTTGATAACATAAGCGAAGAAGGTTCATTGATCTAAGACGAAATGCGGTGCATCGGGAACCAAGTCGAATAAAATGTTAATAATGGAGTCTTCGGACATAACATACATATTTAAAGACGAATGAACATTACGGAGTTTAAATTCAACTACATATCGACTTCTACGAACAACTGGGAGATATCTGAAGCGATCTCGTGAATGCAACCGCAGTAACTCACTCTAAAGGAGCAAATACACCAACCTGGAACCGAATAAATCTTACAAAGTGTATTAAAACATTCGCATCTTCGTAAATCACCGATCAACAAGGAAACCACTGAAGTTAAATCTTACCGAACGTTCTAAAACATGTCGTTTATCGCCAAGATCAGCACTTTTTTGACCGGTCTGGCCTAAACGCACCTTAACACAATAAAAGCAAAAAATAAACCCGTGAAGCATTTCTATTAATATAAAAGGGAACAACACAACGCACAGTAAAAACCCGAGTAAAATAAACCAAATTCAGCTTCGCTCACTCACCTTTAATGGTCTTGTGATCGTAACAGTCTCAATTGTGGTCGTCGGAGCCATTTCACTGAAAAAAATCCAAAAGTGAGTAAACTTCCATACTACGTCGCAGCTAAACAATCATCGCTCCGCGTTCCCGTCCGTAAACCGCGAAACTGAATCACCACTTTGTCGCATCTGTACCTTCTGGTCCACTTTCGTCTCCTACGACCTACACCCACACCCAAACCCTCGAAAATAAATCCGTAGTCCACGAATCAATCTTCGACCGGTGTTCTCTGTGTAAGTTTGCTCTCTTTTGTGTCGTCACACTGTGAACTTTCCATTAAAACAGTCGGGGAGATGTAAAGAGCCACTACAAAGAACCCAATCGGGCGGAAGGGGTCCGCATAAATCTCCCCATGAGGGTGGTTATTATTTATGTAAATGCAGACAATAGCACGAATTAGCGATGTTTCAAGTGAATTTCGACCGACACTTTTCACGAGCACACTTGGGCATCGAGGGTCAAGCACGGATTTGCTTAAATGAAACGTGACCGCTCTTAACTAATCAATTTGACGGCAGAAATAGGGTAATTCGGATTCGACTCGTCTGATAAAACTGGGTTTACGGGCGGTGAATAGTGGAAATGCGACCGCTGGCTTGGAAGGAGAGCGTCACAGAAAGTTGGACGCGGTGGATACAGGACAGAAGTGAAAAAATTGAGATCTTCCGCTGGAACTAGGAGAATTAGGGGTGGAAACCCAGTTTTAGGTGTTTGTTTGATGCAAATGGGGAGCGTTCGTCGCGTATGCGGAATGGGGAACAAACGCATTTTCTTTCTATCGAGAGAACAAAGCTCCATCCATCTTCCCTTCTCCCTTAACGCCATTATCTCAAGTTCTCCCGTTAAAAGACTAAAACGAAACAAACCTCTTAAGAGCGCCACTTTAAAATATAAAGTATGTTAACCTTTTGACAGTCACGATTTCCAAGTGTCACGAAGAAAGCGGAGCAAGCCTTAGTCACACCGCAACTCCGACCATTATTCCAAACATTCAACAATGTAAATTTCTGAATCATACTCGGCGTACCAAACTCGACCCTCGTTCCGGTCCCTAATTGGTAGAATTTCAGTAAACAGACGTGATATTTTAGTTTAATTAAATTAGTGTAATTGGACATTTTAGAGAATTCGCTCTGCAACTTGACGGAATTAAATTTTCAGCGGAGTTAACCCGTTGCTAATTAATTAATAGCGGAGTCCGGTGCTCTCCGGGCCAAGAATGCGAACTTGTTAGAAAAGTCGATGGCGGGAATTAGCGACAAAGAAACTTCGATGGGGATCCCAGACGACACTATCAATTTGCATTGCCAATGGAAGCGGAAAGATAAAACTTTCGAGAGATTTCACTGCAATTGTTTTAATTTGCAGGGGCTAACCTTGCTGGAAGAAAATTCGCACACGTTTCAATGGATTCGGTAGCGCGCAGCGGAATCGACTTTCTCCTGGGTCCCTGAATTTGTCTTTCTTTATATTTACACGTTTTACATAACAAGGTTGGTTTTATTCGGCGACGACTTTCCTCGGTTGCTTTTTGTCAGCGCTTTTCCTTTTTACGTAAAAAACGACGAGACGGAAGAAAGGAACAATTAGACGCTCACGACATCAAAAGAAACAAAAAAGGAAAAATGCCAAGTGGCGAAATTCACGATCATCAAATATAAAGACCCGAAGCATGTTGTACAGGTGTTCGTCGGGATTTTAATTTTTTATTCACAAAAGGAAACTCTGAAAATGTACGGGAAATATTCAGCATGACAAGACAACTAATTTGAAAACTTTTAAGCAAATTGGCACTTGAAAAATCATTGAGTTTTGGCTGATAATTCAAAGTAAGGCGTATGTGAAAGCGCACCTTAACCACTCGTTCAAAAAAAGCTTAATTAACTGCCAATTTGATGAAATTTATTTTCAGTTTTCTGTGTAAAAGCTCCTCAATGCGCAGAATAATGCTGACGTAAGTGCGTTTACAAAATTGACGAGGAATGTTGAAATTATACTTTACATGGCACGCTCAATTAGCGAAGCATGTGCAGATGTTGTAATTACTGGATAATACTCTGGCGTACATATAATGCTCCAAGAGATGTTAACTCGTTAACGTGTTTGGCCAGTTTGGAGCAATTTTTTGTTACTAAATTTATCTGCAGAGAAACCTAGCCACGAATAATTCATAAAAGCGATACAATATGGCGAACAAATATTGTCCGATATAAGCTACGTGGAAAAAAATATTGGTCAACAGTCCGTTCTATACATCCGAAATTTAGATGATACCAAGAATTCGTGCAGCGATAACAAGCAAAATATTTGTAATAATCCCACTAGTTAATAAATATTGTTTACTTTATCTTGTGATTCATGATATATTTAGCCTAATCGACTAACACATGCATTCGGAAACAACTGACTGACTCAATGTGTCAAAGAAATACACGGATCATAGTTTGGTCAGGGCGTTAGTAATTCCGTAAAGGCATAATCATAATTGACAATAAATTGTAAAATTCTATAAAAGACTAATATACAACTTTTTTGGCGAAAATTTGGATGCCTCCGAGAAAACCTCAAAGCAGATTCATAAACCACAAATACAGATGTATGTTATTTTATAAAATCCGAATTATTATAAACAATTTTACGAAAACGTCATCACACTGTTGGTGCGGATGATTATTTTCTGATTTCTTAGTAACGACGATGACTTAAATTGACCTTTTATTTTTTTTTTTTGGGACAATAACCATAACAACCAGTAGTCATTAATCGTTGTGCATTATTAGTAATAAAACAAGCTCTTATTTTTCATTGATAAATAAACTAAAAAAAAAAATTAAAAAGACAAATTATGAACAAAAACAAAACCAACAAAAGAAAAAACCATTAAAGTGTATATAAAAATTTTTGACGAATCTAAAAAGTTTCCTTACTTTATTTTTATGATCTTGAAAAGAATGTTCAAAGAATTGATGCCAAAAACGACTTCATGGTTGCAAAATCAACAACAAAATATCCTTTTCTAAGTTTTGGAGATGCTTGAGAAGGATAAAAAATTTCATAACTGTGGGCAATGTCGAAAAATTTGAAAAATTGACAAAAAATCCACAAAAAATTCTGCCGAATAGATTTCAAACAGCTGAATCCAAAAACATGACGTGTTAATGGTCTCAGAACAAGATTGTGAACTATTATAGAAAATTTAGGGCCAATGGTGCTATTTTTACTAGAAAATTATTAACACGATTCCCGAAAAACTATGCCCCTAAAAATTGTGAAAAAATCGTGTTTACGCTGAAATAATGCTTCTAAAATGGAAAATAATAATTGTTATAATATAATATGTTGTGTATGTATATAATGTTATAATATAAGATAAATAATAAAAGTTTTGAAATGTCTCAAAAACTGCCCAATTTAATTTTGAGTTTTTGGAGAAATACTTGCAATTTTCAAAGAACTGAAGCGAAAAACAACTTCAGAAGAACAAAATTAACAAAAAAAAATCCCTTTTAGTATGTTTCGAATGTGCTCGAGAAAAAGTCAAAAATTTAATATTGAAAAATTTTGGTTTAGAAAAAGTTGCCTGAAAATCTGCACACAAATTTTGATCGATATATTTCGACGAACCAAATCCAAAAACCTAAGAAGTTGAAGGTCCCAGATAAAGATTGTGGGCCATGAAACAAAAATTTCGGGTCAATTTTGGCACTTTTGCTAAAAACGTATCTAACACGATTTTGGAAAAACTGTGAAGTAAAAAATTATGAAAAAAATCAAGTTTACGCAGAATTAGTGCTTCTTAAAGGTAAAATAATCCCAAGTCGATGCGCCTATAGCTTCTCGAAAATTCGATGTCAAAATAAATTTTTGAAAAATATCAAAAATTGCCTAATTTAATTTCGCGTTTTTGGAAGAACAGTTGGAATTTTCAAAGAACTGAAGCCGAAAATGACTTCAGAAGGACAACATCAACAAAAAAATTCGTTTTAGTATGCTCGAGAAAAAGTAAAAAAATTGATAAGGGTATTGAAAAATTTTTAGATACTACCTTACCCTATTTCTGTTTTTAGGTTAATTTTGGGACCCTTTTTTTTAAATTTGAAATACTCTTGAGGTTATAGTGTTTTCCTGTTTGGAAAGAATTTGAATGTATGTCAGTAGCCAAAATCAGTCTTATTTTAGCAGGTATAGTTTTGGAAATTTCATTGTACCCTATAAAATTTTATTGACAATAACGAGACGTAGCACAATGGTAAGAAATATTTATGTCTCACACCAGTGCATTCGAATTTGTCGGAGAACATTTAGCAAGTAGTTGTACTCATAAAATAATGGTCATTTTCGTTCGTGAGTAACGACTAGATTAATCTGCTTTCTAATATCTGGAGATTGCCGGCACGCGACAACTATTGTACTACTGTTCGCCTCGTTATTGCCAATAAAATTGTATAGGGTAGAAAGAAATTTCCAAAACTATACTAGCCCCGCCCACCCGTCTCCTATTTTCTTAGAGGGTATGTCATTTGCCAGAATCGATCTTATTTTAGCAGGTGCTAAACCCGCCCACCCGCCCTCTGTATTCTTAGAGGATCTCATTTGCCAAAATCACTCTTATCTTAGCAGGTACTAGCCCCGCCCACCCACCCTGTGTTCTTAGAAGGCATCTCATTTGCCAAAATCACTCTTATCTTAGCAGGTACTAGCCCCGCCCACCCACCCTCTGTTTTCTTAAAAGGTATCTCATTTGCCAAAATCACTCTTATCTTAGCAGGTACTAGCCCCGCCCACCCACCCTCTCTTTTCTTGGAGGGTATATTATTCGCCAAAATCGGTCTAACATTGGAAAACTTCTCTCAAAAAAGTAAAAAAAAAATTATACAGGAGAGTTTAGAAAAACGATCATTTTTGAAAATTTGTCTACAAATCCACAAAAATGCTGGGAAATACATTTCGACAAGCTAATTCGAAAAGCATAACGTGTGGATGGACCCTGATCAAGATTTTCAAAAAATTTGGTTTGAAAATGTTTTCTTTTATTCTCAAAAATTATTTTTTACTTATACTTTTTGAGAAAGTTATTGGAATTTTTGAAAAAATGAACCCGAAAATAAGTTTAACAAATTGAAATCTACAAAGCAATATCTTTGGATAATTTTCGAAAATGTCTACATTTTTTTAAAATCTATGGTGACCTAAAAAAGAAAAAAAATGCATAATTTCTATGAATTTTTGTTAATAATTGATAAAATTAAAAAACAGACAAAAAGACATTGTTTTTGGTTCCAAATGTTGATACTGACACGACTTCGTGTCGCGAGCAGGACGCCAACGATATCGGGTGATTTTTTAAATTTATACTCTAGTTGCCATGAGCGAATTTCACAACTGGCCTCCATGTCTAAAATTTTCAGAGCAGAAATTTCAAAAATCACACGGTATAATTAGCACAGTGTAATTGTCATTCAATTGGATTTTTGTTGCGAAAATCTAGATACGTAGGACAAAAATTCAGAGCGGATTCATAAACCACAAATACACGAGTATGTTATTAAAAAAAAATTAAATAGTAAACATCAAAGTAGCAATTCATCAGGTGGACCCTATTATATATATTACTGAAAAATATCAGTAGTTAATAATGAAATATTATTCTACTATTTTCCAGACACCCGGTGTAAAATTTGACGACCATCGATCCAGTAGTTTCGAATATTAGCTGTCTCATTAGAACTGACACAAACGACAGACAGACACATTATCCGTACTCTCGGGGTCATGAAACATCAGAAACCATGAAAGAAGGGAAGTAAAACGAATAAAAAAAATGAACTAATTTTCCTTCAAGGAAGCTTATTTCCGTAAAAGCAAGAACTGTGGTTACTCTCATTAGCATTCTGTTCACGACTAATTTATAGTGTGTTTCTACAACTGCATATCAAATGTCTGCGATCGTAAATAAGATTGTTTGCAACATTAAAAGTTTTAATTAAAAAGGTGAATTTAATTTCTTTAAACACGAAACTAAATTAATGCGTAGCTTTTACTCTAATAAGGAAGTGTAATTTTAAAATTGTAAATAGAAATGTAGGACGTTCTAATGTTTACTGAACGATGATGCGCTTTTGAAACAACCTCGATTTAAAACACACAATAATATACAAAAAGCGATTTCGTAACAATGTTCAAATCGTCTTATGACTTTCCGCTTCGTTGGCAATAAAGACGAGTTTTGTTATTTAGTTTTTTTTTGAAAAGATTGTCTTGCTTTCGACGAACAGGGAACTTCATTATATTGCGTAATAAAGTTTAGGATTAAATTATAAAACCGCAATTTCTCTTAACAATAATGTAATATTCAATTTTTTTATGTAATGACTTGGTTGGAGTTTTTATTATCAAAAAATATGATGAAAATGGATGAAAATTTACAAAACTCGGTTGTTACAGCTGTTACTGAAACTGAAAATGACGTTTCGAGGTTGTACGTGACAAGTTCGGGATAGATGGCGCTACAAAATAAATCAAAATAAAGTGACGACTACTGAACCAAACCACTAAATGTCACACTGACTGTATATTTTTTCTATAAACCAGACTCACTTTAGTAAAACCGTGTTTACTTAAGCAGTCTAGTGGAAAATCACTATTTCGCCTCAAAAAGGTCCCCAATTTGTCAACTTGCGCTAAAAACGTCCACTTTTGAGACTTCGCGGACGTTTATTGAATAGTTTTCGACCGATTTATCAGCTGTTACAACTTTTGCAACCTCAGCAGTCTTTCTAAACCATCGCTGTATCACCTTCAGCATGAGTTATCGTTTTCCTTTCTTCGGTATTGCTCGTTCAACCACATATCTGTCGAAACCTGAACTCGTACGTTCCTCGTCGCTGCTCTACTTTATCTTTCCACAACCCCACTCGCCCTATCTAATCAAATTTCCTCCGGTCCGACCCTCTTAAGTGTACTTTTTAGTTTTCGTGTTCTCAAACGCGCCAACATTATCAGCACCAAATTCCTCCGAGACACGAATACTTGCGCACACTTCCAAACCCTCAAAATTACACACTCCATATAGCATCCCCGCAGCAATAAAAAGACATTCATGCGGCTATTGCGGTTTTCAATCGCTGGGATGTCCAAGCAATTAACCCATTAGGTCGCATTACGACCGAACTGCGACGTTATAATTTTATAACTCATTTAACGCGATCGTAAATCGACGAACCACCTGTGCTAGCCACCCCGGCGATTAAGGTGGAAAGTAAAACCCGTTTGGGCCAGCGCCAGGTGCACGCCTCGCCAGAAAAAACGAAAAATACATAACCTCAAAAAAAGTGTTACGGCCGTTTCGCAATTGTTTGTGTCGTAAGTGCTGATTTGACATCTGTCGTGCATTCCACGGCCTGCTCTTATCTAGCGAAAAAAATCTCTTTGTACCGTAGTCACGGTTTAATTTAGGCGTTGAATGTAAATGGGGCATTATTATAAACAGGGTGTTATTTGCATGTCAAAGGATCTTTAAATTGTTAATAACGGCACGGTTTAAAGCGACGTCATTTGCCTGACGTCAGGTACACTCACCTTATCGTTATCAATGATCAATAAAAACACGCACTGATAAGATATCGGCTGTTGCACTCAGAAGGGGCGCACATGCACTACTTTTACGTCCATGTTTGTTGTTTTCGAAACATGGCGGAGGCTGATGATGAATCTGGACCGAAGAAAATGTGCCGTAAACACAAATATGGTCACTGTCAACGGTAAATACCGTGCCGCCATCTGGCGGAAAACGCCGCTAGATAGGCAACCAAATATACACCACACATTTTTCTTTCACTCGTATACAGAGTGATTAGTTTAAACTGATAGATAGAAACAATTCATTTACAGTGTCTGTTATAATCGAATTTTATTTCTGTTGTTTCACTGTAATCATTTTTCGACAAAAAAATTTAGAAAACAAAAGTCGCTAACCTGGCACCTCCACCATTTTTGCCACTTTTTTAACAACAAATTGGAACCAATTTTCAGTTAAAATGGAAATAATAGAATAGAATTTATGTTATACGAAAGTTTAATTAAAATCAGTCGTTACCTCGAGGAAGTCAAGGCGAAGGTTAAGAGTCAAACACAAAAATTAGAAATAATCATGGGATAATAATCAAAATCATTTTTAATTTGCTGTTAATGAACGGTTCCTTAGCCTTATTAGTGTCATGTACTTGACTGATTATGAATTACACACTTTCTTTTTCAAACATAAACATAAACTCAATGATGTCATCCTAAACACTTACAGAATAATCAATTAAAATCAATGATTCACAATACAGTCACACGGAAACGTTAAATTATGAAGTTTTTTTTATAAGAAGAAGAGCCCTATTTTGTAGAGTCACACATTAAGGCTCTGTTAATAAAGCCTATGGAGAAACAATTAACTGCAGTAGAGCTCCGTATGCTGCAGAGGGGGGAATGTGATGCAATCGAAGGTCCCTTAGTGTACAAAGGTCACCGTTTGTGACCCACTAACGCAGGGTCATTCATCCCTGGGTATTCGTAGAGATTTATTCATATAGTAACCTTAACTACTTCTTAAAAGAGTAGAGTAGAAATATCGTGAGAAGAGCGTAACAATCTGTCACTTAAGCTTTCACCAGTGGCGTATCATCTGCACACTTTTACGTCCACTGACTCATTTATTGGTGCGTTCTTTTCGCAGTATTTTTCCACTCCGCTATTAATATCCTGTGAGTAATGTCAACGAACAATCGAATGATTTGATTAAAACATAAAAACTGGAAAATCTGAAATGAAGTAACATCACACTCATTTTAATGTCAGATAAAGTAAAACCCAAATCAGTGTGGCTATTTAATGTTTTTCATATTTTTGACACTCAGTAGCTGTAACATGCGTTTGTATATTTCAATTTCTAAAACAAAATTTTGAAACAATAAATACAAAATAAATTCGTAAGTTTTTCCACAGGTTTACACAAGATATATTGCCGTGCTCTGGTACCTTCACAGCTATTAAACATTTACGACTTTTGGTCAGAATAATTTTTCGTTTACCGCAGGAAACACTGACCTTTTTTTAGAACTGTGCACGAGATATTTTTAAAAATTTGAAGTATTTCCGAAAATAAATAATTTCCGCGAATAGCTTTATGGCGAAAACAAACTACGATCTGATAAACTAAGAATGTCGTAAGTATTGATGATCAGTGTGTGATTATAATGACTCAGTAACACTTCATCCCAAAATCTGATTGGTCAATACTAGATAGGTAGCCACTTTCATTAGAAAAATACAAATCCCCAGCATTGACTTAGTGAGTCACCCTGGATTTTAGGCCAAGTGTAAACAAATTCTTGATAATCTATCTGCAATAAATATTTTTTCGTGGCAAGTGCAAAGCAAACAAGAATTTTCCTTTTTTAAACTATTTGTTTTGATTGGAGCCTAGTGTTTATTTAACGTCAAGTTTTATTATGAAACAACTTTTAATCATTTTATCCTTGGCGAAACCAGTGTTTGACTACGTTTGTCAATAATCCTCTTACCCTTTATTGTGTTTGTTCAACGTAGATTGAAAATTTACAATTTGGCAACAGTAAGAAATCGAGGACGTGGCATTTGGATTTATTTTCAATAAATGCTCTGATATAACACAGTGAACAGTAATAAATTCATTATACTTAAACATGCAACTAGTAGCAATATAACAGGGCACATTAATAAAAAACCTAACAAATCAAGTACTAAAAACATCCATCCGACTCGTTAAGTTAAAAAAAAAACTTTACAACAAATAAATAAAAAATAAACCTACACGTATTTTACACAGTTACAAAAATATCCGCCATTATGAATACTTAGGCCGAATCATCACAATTTCAGCTCCCATATGACAATATGGGCGTCATTCCTGTTGGATTCCCTAATCGAGAACGAGCTCTTCGACTTATCCGCCGGACAACACGGCTGCCTGAAATTCACGTACCCTCTCCCTCCCATCAGAGTAATCACTGTCCGTCGCGCATTATCCACCGCACCCCCTTTACTCAACGTCTTCGTCGCCGGTTTTTCCTTCTCGACGTTTTCGTTCACTCCGTTCAACTGTCTGCTCACGCTAGAATTATTCCGCGACACGCTCCGACCCGCACCGTGTCGTATCGCCATGCTCTCTTCGCTCCCCGAAGACGTGCATAAACTCGACGAGCGCGAATCCACCGACCAATTAGACAAATCCAGCGACCTGGGTCGACTAACCTTCATCTTCAATCTGCGATCTAGCGTGCTGACTTTGTTTGGAAGAGCCAACTCGGGGTCACTGCGCCGTAATGACTCATAAATAGCGTCAGTGAGGATGTTCTCTTCACCTTCGTAATCTTTGATGTACATGAGTTCGCCATAGAGACCGTAAACGTCGCACGTGTCGCCAGACACCTGCGACGAGTTACTACTAGTCGAGAAGATGGATCCACCGTTGCCGAAACCTCTCGGCAACGTTTTCGACAGACGAGACATGTCGCAGTCTTTGGATCTGCGCCGGCGCAGCACGACTGGGCTACTCGTGAAGTAGCGCAACTTCGACGCCATGGATGTATCCGACAGTTGTTTTTCCATTTTGGGGCGGTCGTCCTGCGGCGTTTCCGCGAAACTCCCGTCGAGGCTATCTTGCGTGGGGGGAGACTCCTTCGAGTACTTCCCGGAGTTGGTCCCACTCTTTGGTTGCAAAGCTAAGAGAAACGAGATCGGTCCGAAATGGGCGTGGTACGAAATATTGACACGCCCGCTGATGATCGGCACGCCCTCGAGTCGCGGTAGGGGAATGGTGAGGGTAATACCAACGTTCGTACCCACCCACAACAAACCCTTGCAAGCTAACAGCGCCGTGACGTTAACTTGCGACCGATTGTTGTTAACACAGTCGCGGCCACTCGACGGCGTCGTCACCCGCATGACGTTCGACGCTATGTTGATGTCCTGCAGGTGCTTGAACGTCTCCGTGTGGTACAAGCAGATGGTGCTCGAGTGCTTCAGCGAAATCCACAAACCGATGCCGCTGTGCGCCATTAGGTTAACGTTGCCGACGTGCTCGTGCTGGATGCTGAAGTTCTTCTGGATTTCGCCGGTGAGGCCGTTGACCACCCAGACTTTCTTGCCGCAGGCTGCATACAAGCACGTGTTGATGGGCAAGAGGCTGGAGACGGGGTCGGTGCCTAGGTCGAGCACTTGCGGTTCTTGCAGCAACCACCCGCCGTCGATTAAGTTGCGTCTATATACATTTAAGGTTCCGTTAGCTAAGGCGACGAATACGCTATCACAGTGACATTTAATTTGGGTTATGACGTCGGAGACGGCCACGCTGGCCACTTCTTCTTGTTTTTCGGGCTCGTCGGCGGCGTACACTAGGAGGCGGTGGCTGTCGGTGCCCATCCAGACCGTGTCGGACGCCAGACTCGGGCACGGCGGCGGCGCCCCTTTGACGAACTCCATCGAAGTTACTTGCGTTTCCACTAGACTGAAGGAGGTGATGTCTTTCAGCACGCTGGATTGTTGGTGGTGTTGGGCGAGAACCGCGATGTGACTACTGGCGCCATCCGACGTGCAGATCCAGAGGTAGTTTTGGGTGCGGTAGCGGCGGCGCGTAGTCTTTACAGAGTTCACAGTGTAGTAGCAACCACAGCGGACCTAAACACAAATCGATAACTGTAATGGCGCAGTCGGTAGGATTCGAATGTGACTTACTTCGGTTTGATGCTGTGACTTGTAAACACACTGCGATTTGACGAAGAGCGGCATCTTCGTCGACGGTCGTTGCTCCTGCTCGGGCACCTCCCACGCCGGGGAGTTGTTAGGGTCCAGTGCCAACTGCGCCAACCTCAACTCCGTAATCCACTCCTTCTTAATCGACGGATTGTCGGTCTTGAACGTGAAAGTCTCCTCTTTCCCTTTGGTTTTCACCACGAGCTGCAAACAACACGAGTCGACCCAGGCCATCTCTTCGTCCTTCTGCTGAATCGACGTTTGTATTTGCTGCAGGATCTTCCGCGTGTTTTCCACCGTGATATCCTTATAAGTACCTCTGAGCGACCCCACCAGGTCCGAAATCCGACTCATGATCTCGTAATCGTGCATCAAATTGCTCATTTCCGTGCACAAATTGTTGGCGTCCTGCGGCTGTTGCCCGTCGAAGGACCCGTTCGACTTGACACTACCGCCTTTGGTGAGTCCCGCCGTCAATACTCGACTCAGCGTCGGGGACGCGCTCGTATCCTGAATCTCTATATCCGAAACGGGGTAGGTCCACTTCAAGTTCAGTCTTTCGCTCGCCCCGAAGTCGTCCGACGCTTTCGGGGCCACGGAAACGCACACGATCAAGTCGTTCAACAACAACAAACGCCGGTTCTTCGCCTTTGTGATCATGCCGCTTTGGTTATACTCCTAAAACGAGGCGATTAAGCGCGCCGAGTCGTAAATTAAACCAATTAGACTTACCAGTTGCATCACGTTATCTTCCCGCAACAAGTATCTGTTGCAATCCGACAAAGGCCTCGCTGAGAATTTGCCGCTGATGTGGCGCAACATCTCTTTGAACGCTTGGTACTGTTCAGCTTCTCTTTTTCGCTCGTTGAGCATCTCGGCGAGGGACTCGAGCTGGGTCAGCGCCAGCTGAAGGGACATGCGGTCGTGGTGGCCTTGCGGCGTGTGCTTCAGCAAGTCCTTTGAAACGCGAACATAAGCTTCGTACGACGGTCAACAAATACTCACCTGGAGGAAGAGGATGAACTGCGGGAACCGTTGCACGGGCTTCACCATGAGGCCGAAGAATGATAACCGATCGTGCGAGCTGATCTGTTTCACCTGAAACTAACAAATGAGACAAAGCGGCTTAAATGTCGCAGCGTGTTACTTTTAGAAAGTCGGCCAGCGCGGATTTTCGTTTGGCTTCCATCTTCGCCAAGTCCATCGCGACGGAGAAGTTGTTGATGAAACCGCTGTAGATGTCGAGGACTATGGCTTTGGAGAAGGAAGCCACGAACACGTCGCCGATTCTTTCGTCTCGGTCCCAGTTACGCACGCTTTCGGCGAGCGCGATCCGGAACAAAGTATGGCACTGGAGTATCTCCGGGAGTCTGTGGAACAGCGTCGCGATTTTCGAACCACTCAAAATCGCAGGGCTGCTTTCCTCCAGAGGCTTTTTATAATCCTGCACGGGCAAAAACAACAATTTTTCGTAATTCGTTAGTAGTTTAAAAATGGTGTTGACGTCACGCTTGTGGCGCGAAATTCAAATTGTGACAAATCTTTAGACTTGAATAACGTGATGTGTTAAACGAATTGATCCGTCTGCAATTACAAACGCAACTCTCGTATTGCAACTCCGAGAACTAAAGCCACTGAACTGATAAATCGTAGCGGAAAAGCAAGAATTAATTTGACAACTTGACACCGCAGATGTTTCCATGTGAAATTAAATTCAAAACTGAAACAAACTCGTACCCGTTTTCAACTTATTTTCCAGCTTTAGAAATAAATAATTCACGTACCAGGCAGGCAAACGGGACAGAAACGTCGAACGCGGCATTTAATACATTTAACCTTGAGCCATTTTTTCGCAGAAACCGCAGTTACACCGACGAAATGAAAAAACACACTAGATACGTTTAGTAAAAAATAGCCAATGACGAATTCATTAAATGTCATCTATCACTTAGCATCTCTACAGCTACGCTGTCTTTGGTCACTCACATTGACTAGCCTCTGCAGCGTCGCGACGTACGAATTCTCGCTATGTACAATCGCCGCGACGATCATCCTCCTCTTCATCTGCTGCGTCGTCAAGTTTGGCGGCGCCGGGGGCAGCGCCGGAGGCACTTGCCTCCTCTGTTGCGCCGAGCAATTGAACACATTCTCCTCCTCCACCTCTGGCAGAAGAGGCATTTTATTCGCCGGTGGCGCTTTGGTCCCGTCCACATTCTCGATATCGTAGTGATGTGCGCTGCCCCTTCTGATGGAAAACCACCTCGACAGCTTGCCCTGGTTGGCCTGGTTCTGGGAGGAGGCATCGGTCAGACTCCCGTCGAGGGACAACCTGTGGTTGGAGCCGATGCCTCCGCTTGCCCTCAACTTATCGCATAACGTTTTGGCCTTGTTCAAAGTGTTACGGAATTGGGTGTTGTTGACCCTGTTGGCCTTTTAATTAGACGGTTCGCGCTGATTGTCAAGTACTGACCTGGAGTTGGAGGTGGCGCTCCGGTCGCTCTCGCCGTCGGAGGACAGCTCGGGGTCGGAGCCCGAGCACCAGCTGTCTTCGGAGCTGCGCTGGGAAATGGTGTGCTGGAGGGTGCGCGGGGGGACGCGGTGCTCGCAGGGGGTTTCCTCCCATGTGCCCGAACGAAGGCGGGGTTCGTCTGAAAACAATTAAATCGTTGCATTTGCATGGTAAACACTATTTAAATTTTACAAAAAGCAATATAATCAATTTCGTATTTCGAGCTGGTTGTGAATTTGACCGCACGTTTTGGCTTTGTGGCTTTGTGGAGCGTCAGTGTATCTAGCAGGTCGTGATCTCCTTTGATTAATCCTTCCTGTGCGGGATGACAATGCGAACGAAAACCTTTCGGCTTGAAATTTGGACCAAGTTAATTTAACGTTTAAATTGGAATTAATTATGTGACCCGGAACAGCAGCTGTCGGGCCTTCCCCGAGAAGGGGTGGCGTAAAGAATTTCCCCAATGTGGGGCGAATTGGAACGGGCGTGAGAAATGGGTCAGGGTGACCTTTGGAGGAAATAGGAAGTTGCGAATTTTGTGGAAAAAATGGTGTCTGGAGAAAGCGAGCTTTCGGAAGTGACATAATGTCATTTTTTGAGTGAATCGAAGAGTGTGAAGGTCGCATCGACTACTTGATATTCTGCGAGTGATTGCACAACGAAGTTGGCCATGAAAGCCGTAATTACGGCAGTGGCGTCCCTATAGGGGGCTAAGCGGCAATTTGCTGGTGTGCAACATTTTAATCAGGAAATAGATGGTGACAATTGTATGAAGTCTATTGTTGGAGCGGCATTTTCTAGGCAAGGACGCTCAACTGCGAGTTTATTTCGCAGCCCTTCGACTTTACCCCGGATCGAGTAATTGTGATCGGTTTAAAAGTACTTATTTGTTAGCCGCAACTGTTCAAATTGGTTTAATTACTCGACTTGTAAACTAGCGCGTCCTTGGACTCTGGTCTCAATTTTCAAAGAGTAAGTACATCAGCGATCGCTATCGTCTTCGCCGAGGTGGCGGCAATTAAAACTTGAGTAATTAAAGTTGGGGGCTTGCGTCTGAGCGGGTTGTTTACGCAGATTAAGAACTCTTATCGCTGGCAAAAAAACGCGAAGAGCATCACCGAGATTGGAAATGAGTCGAGGTCGCGATAACCAGAAAAGGAAACAATGATTTCACGCTAACGCCATAAAGATCTAACTGCGCCATTAACACAGAAAAAAAAAGAGAAAGAATGGTAACTTACGGGCACAGGGCTCGGCTTTTCTGGCTAGGAAGGCGTGCATAAGTACTCGTAAATAATCGCGAACTCGCAAACTCGCATTTTACGTAGGAGCAACTGCTCAACCACTCTCCGTGGAATTCTCACAACGACTGGAACCGCGTTGGAGTTGGAGAGTCGGACAGTTTCACCCGCGCAATTCTGGCTCTCGGCGCCTATCTTACCTACATATTTTGCAAGGTGACGGTCTTGCCAGTCGGAAAAATCGCGCAATTTGTTTATGCACGTTAAAAACCCAACTTAAACTATAGTTAGTTTATTGTGCCAGATGTTGGTGACGGACCGAAAAAAAGCCCAGATTCGAATTCCCGCCGATTACTAATTAAGTCAATTGTAAAGAGGCGTGGCCATGACTGATAGCTCGTCGGTTTTTTATTAGCCATTTCCGGACCTCCATCCGCAACAAATATGTTGTTATTTACATTAGTTTAACAGTTTGTTTACTTGTTTTATTGGGCTGTGTTTAAATGCTGTAGCCACTGAACCCCGACATGTTATCGGAGTGATAACTTAATCGGTGCGGCTGCACATTGCCTCAGCGTGCAAATTTGTAATTCGAAACGATATATAGATGCCGGCTGCACTATGAAAAAAAAATGGTCTTGTTTTAATGACCCCACAGATGTGACCAGAAATCATCATTACATCATCACCATATAGGTCGTCTTCGATCAAGTCCTGCACAGAGTTTAGTAACTTCTTGGGCAGGAGCAACTCAGGGCTCAATCATGGCTTCACTCATATTTGCGATTTTCATTAATGATGTGGACGCAAATGTCTGAGATACGTGCATTATTTACGTAATTATATCATTTTTTGTTCTCTATTATATATATCTATTATATATCTTATTTAATATAGAGGTCAGCGTTTACAACGCAGAACAAATTTCATAAAAAATCCACTCGCATCATCAACAAAAATTTGATGTCGTCCTCGTTTTTATGGACATCTTAAGCGTTGTCTTTTACGACTTGGACACATAAATTTGATTAAAATTCACATCAAAAACCGATGTTCTGAAATTCATTCCTAAAACACCTAGTCCTATCAAATTATGTCCAAGCTACGTCACGATTAGTTAAGTTTTATAACCACAAATCTAACATTTATATTTAGGGGAATGTAATTACAACAGGAGAAAATTTATTACACCACTTTTCAAATGTTGCTAAATGTAGCCACCACAAACACTTTCAAAAGAGTTACCACTGTTATTCAAGAAAATAAAAGAGATATAAGTCGTTTAAAGCACTCCAAAGCACTAAGTATTTATTGCTTTAGCAAGGTCTAGCGAATTCCAAAATTCCCAAAAGATAGAGAGAGAAGTCTGACTGTAGACACAAGAAAAATGAGAGCACTGAGTTGTGCATTCTTAGTGTGGCATTCCTGGTGCGTCCAAATTGGCAAAAGGTGCCATCTTAACGACACTAAATTTCCTGTCAAAGATTTACAATGAGACAACGTAAATATATCTCTGTTCAATTTAACAACACTATATGCAACCAGTGACTTAAATATTACTCTCGCGCGCCCTCTACATTTAAGTAGCTGAATTACTCGCTCGTTCGACCCATTAAGTCCATAAAAGTCCATTTGAGCGTTTATATGACGTGATAAACCCGGTACTCGACGCTTGTTTCGCGAATAACAAACCACTTGAACCAAAAAAACCGATTTCCGCAGACGTCTCGCCGCCAAATGTTCCCGACCTTCTCCCATTTAATTAACTCCGTGATTTTCCTACTATAAAGCAATAAATTACTCCACGGGCGATTAAGTCGATCAATGAAAATAAACTAGCAGGGGGCAGAGAGCCGAGCAAATCTCAACATCAAGTGTGGGAAATTCCAATTAAACGGGATAAAATCCAGATGGAAACGACCCAAGCTTCCGCAGGTTAGGCCGGATACGCTAGTTCCGCTTGGACTGGATTACGACAAACAAACTTCTCTTAATCCGGCTCTGGTGTTTCTTTTTTTCTCTCTATTCTAGTAAATAAAATTACGGGCTCTATTATCGATTCAATGGGTTAGTGGGGGTCATGAAGGGATTGGAAGCGGATGTGGGTAATTGCTGGCACTGTGGACGCCCTTATCGAAAAAGGTCACCGCTGATTTATTACTCGAACGAAAAATTATGGTGCACCGATAGAAGATGGTTCAAGGTCGAGTTTGTTAGAATGACCGTTGCCCATTCTGTGACATAACCTCAACGCGTTCCAGGAACCGAAACACATGGTCACCGACCTTGTCTTTGTAATCTAAATTCTATTACCTCCGTTGCGCAACGGCATTGTGCTGGCTAGAATCAGGGATTTGTCTATTGTTTCAAGTCTGGGCCAAGGCTGCCCTTTCCCGCGCCGCGCCGAAAATTTACCTAGTGTAATTGCGGCTCACTCCATCTCTTCGGTGAACCGACTATAACCAATCCGGATTTAAGCACCTACAAATGAGTCACCGTTTTCCGTGCCCCAATACCCCATAAAGATCGCTATCGGGCCTGTTGGCACCCCTGCTTTGCACCTGCTTCCCCCAGCTGCGCGTCCATGAAAGCCACAACAAACACCCCCACCGCTTCGCCCGTATCTTTAGTTTTACTGCCAACATAAAGCTCAATCAAGGAAACGCGAGAAAAATTCTTTCGGTTTATTGAACTCGATTTTCGTTACACCTTGATTGTTCCATTCCGAGAGGACGGACAGACAAATGAGTCATGCGTGGCCGCCGACAATAATCAAAAATCCAGTGGGGGGATTAATCGAACGGATGTTGGCACCACTTTCGTTGATTTCGCTGATGTAACCCGATCTCCTGAAACAAAGCGGACAAATGTTATCGCGTAATTCGATCTAGCCGCCGAAAAACCGAATCACGAATCATTGTGAGATGGGTATTTGTATTTTTAGAATGAGTTAGTTCGTTTACCTTTCTTATCGCGCTTTATTACGCGATCGCTCTCCTTCGGCGCAACGCCGGCGGTGTGCCTTTTTTTGTTTGTAGAGGGAATAATCGCGATTTTCGAGATGGTTCTTAGAGATTTACGAGTGGACGACTTGGGGGGAATTCCGTTCTAAATGCGCTAATGTGCTCGCTAAATATAAGACGGGTTTGTACAGATGTTCGAACACACGAGTGTGTAATATGTTGTGTAAGTTCAGGAGGTTGGTCGGCGGAAAAAAGGCGGCTTTGTCGCTTTATGCGGCGATAAACCCGACAAAGGAAACTCCGAGGATATGGAAGTTGGGCCTGCAAAATCTGACAGCTGTCACTTCCGATGAGATTGCGTGCGCGTGAACGGGGCTTCGACGGAAGACCGAACGACGACACTCGAATTTGGACAAAGATGATTTCATTACTACTACACACTACGTGTTTTGTATTCATTATCGCGTCTAATCTACACACGCTTTATGAAAGAGCTGGCAGATAAGTGAGATAACACTAGTTGTACGACAGACAGACAGCCCTATCCTTCATTTTCGGGCACCATTTTTCCTAACCGGAAATTGTCCTACCCACAAGCAATCCAAATTTTATGTACCTTTAAATGAAAATTTTGGGCTTTCAGGCGCTGGACTAATTTTTTTCGCAGGTCCCATCCACCCCTAATTACGGGATTCCGAGATTTTTTCAAATTATGTACTTCAAAAACAATACAAGGGATTCGCAAGATTCTTTCAGACTAGTTCAAGAACGAAACCCAGATTCTTTTAAACTACTACAAGAATAATCCACAAGACGTTGTAGAGATTTGTTCAAACTACATATGTACTTCAAAAACAAAACAGAAGGGGTCCTTCAGATTCTTTCAAACTACTTCAAAAACCAGATATACGAGATCTCCGAGATTCTTTCAGACT